ATGTATCTATCTATCTATCGTGTCGCGTTTGGTCAACCGGAAGTTCAAATAATTGTAGGACTTCCGGAAGTTCCTTTAGAAACATCTCTAATTTGGGGTTCCTGTGTAATTACGTCACCATGACGTCATGTATTGTATTATGTCATAATCTCTTTTCCATAACGTCATCTCCTATGGGCCTACACTGCTTCATAGCAAKTAACTAYATTTTGCTTGMATTATATACTAATATTTTGGCTTACTGAGAACCGTGTGGGAAGTGCTGTTCTTCATGAAACAGATTGAAAATATTACGAGCATGCTCAGAGTAGTAAAACTGATAGATACACATTGGATTARTAGGGCACAGGTAGCCCAGAGTTAAATAAACCATAATAATCAGGCAATCACGTGCACACCTACGAAGTAACAAAATTTCCCATAATTTCTTGGTTTGATAGCACAGGAATACCAAAGTCACATGGTGCTCTGCTGGTGTTACGTTCCATCGACGTTTGATCCTTTGGATACTTTTGCAATCAAAAAACAACAAATGGACATGCCGTTCGCGATAGACTAACACTAAAAGTTGTTCCAATTCTAGAAAATACTTACTCCTTAGTTAACAGTAATAATCCTAACAAGACCAAACATTGAAGTACTATAACAGCACATGTAAGGACGTCATATTTGAATTCTTCGAGAAGACTAATAAGACGATTAGATGTCTACAATCCTGCACAATTGGCTCTAGACTCACAGCGATAAGTTAATTTGTTGTAATAGCGATGTTTTATGGCAATAAATAGGTTTGTTAATGTGATATTTTTCCATTTACTGTGTAATTTTTCGCAGTCGTCTCTGTTTATGCTTTGTATTTAAACCGGTTTTTAAACTTATTGTCCATAAACAATGTACCAATGTCTTTAAAAAATGATTGTAATTCATTTGAAAAAGCAGAAAAAAATTGTGTTTATGTAATTATAAGTCACGATAAAAGTCCCATGTCAAAACAAAAATGTATTAGGTCTCGGTATGCCAAGCTCGTTGCTTCTGAATGTGACGGATTCATCTGACCACCTCAACGTGAT